CCTTCCCTATAGCTGTAATGGAACAGAGTGAAACCTTACTAAAACCATATCCCAAATTGATTTGCTTAGTGAAGAGCCTCATTTCAAAAAGTATACGACATGTTCACATTTAGAATATAATATAATTAGATATTAGCCCCGAACCTTATAGGCAGCTGCCCATCAGCGATACTGTGAGTAATTAAATGATATTTACCATTTACCAAAAGATGAACCTCATATTGTTGAATTAAACTGGCCCTTCTGCATCTTCATAAAATGATGAACCTCATTAGTTCTGCCTAACCAGAGAATCCTGTTAATGAATGGGTGACACCTTCACTCCACGGTATGAAGCAGAACCAACTGTGTAATCATTTGAGGGGTCAAATGCATATGAAATTATTGTAAGTTAAGAAAGTGAAATCACATGAGTTAGGGAAATCATTCAAGCAACAAAAGATTTTTTTAACGTATGTTCCTGGACCATAAGAAATCTACATTTTCAATTGCTCAAAATTAACTAATCAACTACTTTACCTGAAAACAGTGAAAAAAAGTAACGATGCAGCTACTGCTCCAAATAAGCCACAGAGAAGATTGACGCGATAGGCAATTGAACCAAAAGGAAATAGTATAATTGCCAGTTTAGCCACCAGTGTGAATAAAGGATAGCCAGGAGGATGGGCAACCTACGGAAAAATTAGCAACAGTTAAGAGGTTTTCATCTAGGAAAGGAAGAGTCACACTGGCTTTAACTGAAAAGCAGCCCTTTTGTCAGGCAAGTATGAAGATTATGTGCCAATGACTAAATGTTTGACTAGTGGTTTTCTATTGTGATCCTCTTGTGCCAATACAAATAAATATTTTCTTTAGTGGATTTGGCAGCGTCTATCACATGGTGTGTCACCTAGAGAAAGGGTGACATATTTCATTGTCAGTTCTTAAGCAGTTTGTTCTCTGAGTTCACAGTACATTAGGGTCATTTAAAAGGCTATTGAAAAAAAGCAGGTTCTGAAATATCGCATTGGTTAGAAAGTTGAAAGACCACACTGCTATCGGATTACCACCATGCTGACAGTCGTAAGGTCTTGCCTAAAGGGATCATGCACCATAATAAAGTTTATTAAATAATAAACTTATTAAAACTGTTAACCCGATTTATTTTATTCTCCACAGCTTATACAAAATTTGGGGTGATAATAAGGCAGCTACTGTATATATAGTAAAGGCTTTGCTTTATAATTTAGTTTAATTGGATTTAAAACTTAAAGTAAATTGTCACGTACTGTACTTATAAGTTACTAAAAACTGGGGTTTGAAAATAAATTAATCTACTTTACTCCATGCTTAATTAAACTTTCTTAATTCCTAAAACTGTTAATGAGAGCATTGATTAAACAATAAAACTAATACTTACTCCAAGCTCATATGCGGCTGTGATCAGTTCCCCTGTGAAAAAATAATGTAAAACCAATAATTACTATTAGAGAATGACACTCCTCCAAAGTTTTCAAAATCCGAATGCTTGCATTGGGGTTTTGCATTAATTTGACTGGATAAAACTGTAAATCTGTAGAGATTTAACAGCATGAAATAGTCTAAGAATATTTTCTCCCCTAGGTCTTATTGAACAAACTATTTTTGATAGTTTTTAATAACTGGTCAGTGGAAATATAGGTGAATTCTGGTTTTTAAAAAGTTTATTTTCCCTCCTGAAAGTTGTATTCACTTGCAAATATACAAATACTGTTAGAGCATTTGTGTAATATGCATTATCATCCCTCAAGTATTTAGTACCAGTCTCCAAAGCAGCAACCTTGTATTATGTGATTCATGCAGACATCTGAGGTTTGGACACTCCATAAAATGTGCCATACTACCCTAACTAACACTGGCATTTGGATACCTCTGCAAATTATGTTGGATACCTTTAAACAATTTCCAAGTGTTTATTAATTCCAGGTTATGTTGGTAAACTCTACCATGATACATTTTTTCAAACCATTAAATCACCATATTCTTTACATAGTCCTTTATAGTTCTTCTCCATTAGTGATTATTTCTAAAATTATGGTACAGTAATCTAATGCCTATTTGTTAGTATTTTAAATACCCAGAGCACAGGGACTATTTCTGACTCATTCCAGTACACTGTAGCACAGTGCAATGTAGAAATCAATCAATATTGATCAATGATTTGTCAAAGTTACAATTACTTATCAGAAAATGTCCTAGTGTCCATTTTCTATCCTTTAATAGATAGCAGTACTCTGCTTTTAATTCTACCATGCCAGTCACAATGTAGACCTTTACCTTCTCTGAGAGACTGGACTACAGCAAAAGGCTTAACCAATTTTCTACTTCAATTCATCGTCATACTGAAATCACTTATTACCGCCACTTATCCCTTCCCCCCAAACACACACACACACACACACACACAAGTTGTATCCCTAGTCTAAAATTGCTCAATGGCTGCTCTGTGCTTACTGAATGAAGTTCAGACTCCCAGCATGACATTCAAGCCCTCTATGGTTTCAAGGTCCCTTTGCTAGGCTTATATCCATGAACCCTAAGCTCCCTCCAGTCCAATCTGATTTCCCACTGTGCCTCTGGAATGGTCCTCTCTTGCACCTCTTCTCACTCATTTTCTCACCCTAGAATATTTCCCTGGCCTTCTTTCCTAAATCCTTCAAGGCCTAGTTCAATTGCCACCTTCTCAAGTGACACCTTTCCCAACATACCTCCCACCCCCATCAGAATTAATGACTTCTTCCTCCTCCATAGAACCTGCTTAATCTATTTAGCACTTTAGATCCCCTTATTCCCTGGTCAGTTTTCATTTCTCTCTCTCACTAAGTTTAAAAACATTATTCTATCCATTTCAGGATCCTGCCAAGATACCACCACCTCTCCCCTGTGGCCACACACAAAGAATCTAATTTAAGCCCCACACAGACATTGACAAAAAGACACATCACACTGTCATCCTTGCTACTCAGACACTTAGGTGAATGACTACTTGCATCATGGAAGGCCCATAACAGCATCCAAAGGTGCTGCTCACTTAAGCCACTGCTCACTTTATTACTTAAGGATATCTTTAAATTTGTTAGAGATATT